GGATCCTGGAGCTGGCAGTCCCTGGGGCGCAAGAGGCAGGCAAGCAAGGAAAGCCGTAAGGTGGCATCCCAGGTGCTGGCCTGGTCCCCATGCTTGCAGAGGGCACTCCTGAGCGAGTGGGAGGAGAGGGGCGTGGAGGAGGCCTGAGAAGGAAACCACCCATGTCCGGGCAGGGGCGGCTGAGCCCTGAAGTCCCAGTGCTCTCGCGAGAGCCGTCTGTTCATTGCTGTTGTGGGAGTTCGGCGCCGTCAGCTGCAGCTCTCTGGGCCCCGGGCTGGCAGAGGGCCCCTGCCGACGCCCACTGGGACGACCCCAGGATGACCCCAGCCACAGCAGGCAGGGGACCCTGCGCCAGCCTTTCCCGCTGCCACCTGGGTTGGTGTCACTGCCTTCCACGTCCCCTTGGCCAAAGCAAGTCGCACGGTCACTGCTCGCGTCCGGGAGGAGGAGGAGAGAACCGGGGTACTGGAGAGCGACACCGGTGAAGGGCATGGAAGCCTTCAGTGGGGTCCATGTTGCCTGCAAATCACTTCCCTCATTTTGCAAATGCGGAGGCCAGGGAGCAGCTGGAGGGCTGAGACGGCTGCGCGTGCGCCCTTGCCCAGCTCTCGGGGTCGGGACTGGGCCTGAGATGCCCTGGCCGGCGGCGGTGTGTGTGCCGCTCTTGCAGACCGAATGGCCAGGGGAGGCCCCAGGCCAGGGGCAAGCATCCAGGTGAGGACAATCTTGGGCCGGGGTGTGCGGAGGGAGAGGCAGGAGGTCCCAAAGCCAGCGTGAGGTCAGAGCAAGGCTCGAGGTCAATGGTGGTGGGCGGGGCCGAGCCCGGGAAGGCGGGAACCACTGTGTGGGGCCAAGGTACCAGGGTCAGTTTCCAGGCCAGGGATGACGTCACCTGTTTAGTTGTACAACGTGCTGCAGAGAGAAGGGGACAACTCGGCAGTGCCAGCAGGGACCGCGGACGCCCCCAACACCGTGGCTGTGCCTCACAGAGCCCACGCCGCCTGGGAGGAGCCCCGTGTGATGTCGGGTTGGTTGTGTCTTCTGATCTGATGGGCCTAGTGCCCCAGGGATGGAACTCGGAGGAGGGGCTGTCTGGTGGGCAGGGCCAGGATTCACTCTGCAGGGAACAGTGGCTCATGTACCCCGTGCTCTCCGTACCCACAGACAAGATCATGGAAATTAACATGAGTTAGTTTGGGTGTGGACGCATTCGGAAATCCACGCACATGCAGGATCTTCCAACCAGACCCGGAAAACATGTATAATGAAAAAAACTAAGCATGGATTTCAGAAAGTTCTGCACCAAAATAAACTTGTCTTTTAATTCCATTGTCCCATGGAGTATCTGAGGCACGCTGTGTGTGATGGGTACACGTCCCTCTTATGTTTGTTGGCGTGGTTCCCGCGTGTCGTGGGTGTCCGTGTGCTGTGTGCCTGCTGTAAGTCATAGCTGCGATGTAGAGTGGGGCCCGGCTGGGAAGGGGCTGCAGGCAGCCAGGTGGTAGCGAGCGGATGGGTTCGGGTGGTCTGTTGGGGTCTCCAGCTGCTCTGGAGGTCTGGGATGGCAGTGTGGGCAGGGCCACGCCCCCTGCTGGAGGCTCCCGGGGAGTATCCCCCTTGTCCCTTTCTGGCTTCTGGCGGGGCCACCATCTCTAGGTGTGTCTGTGTCCTTGCCGCCTTAGAAAAAAATTTATTGTTTTGTGACAGGCAGTTAGTGAGAGAGAGAGAAAGGTCTTCCTTCCGTTGGTTCATCCCCCAGATGGCCACTATGGCCGGCTCGCTGCACCAATCCGAAGCCAGGAGCCAGGTGCTTCTCCTGGTCTCCCATGGGGTGCAGGGCCCAAGCACTTGGGCCATCCTCCACTGCCTTCCCGGGCCACAGCAGAGAGCTGGCCTGGAAGAGGAGCAACCGGGACAAAATCTGGCACCCCGACTGGGACTAGAACCCGGTGTGCCGGTGCCACAGGTGGAGGATTAGCCTGGTGAGCTGCAGCGCCAGCCACAATTTTTTTTAAAATGTGTTCGAAGGGCAGCAAGAGAGAGAGGGAGATCTTCCATGTGCTGGCTCACCCACCCCCCAGATACCTGCAACAGCTGGGGGGGGGGGGCAGGCTGAAATCGGGAGCCAGGAGCTCAGGTCAGGTCTCCCGTGTAGGGGGCAGGGACCCACCCACTGGAGCCACCACCTGCTGCCTCCAGGGTGCTCACTGGCAGCAAGTTGGAATTGAGAGTCAGTCCGGTACTCGAAGCCAGGATGCAGGGGTCCCGTGCAGCATCTTAACCTTTGTGCCAATGCCCATCCTGTCTCTCCTCTTGCAAGGGACGCTGGTCACTGGCTTTACGAGGCGGCTCCTCTTCTCCGGTTTGCTCATTACCTCTGCAAAGGCCCTGTTGCCCCATGAGGTCGCATTCAGAGGCTCTGAGTGGTCCTGAACCTCGGGGCTGGAGCCCTGGGAGGGGGTGCATCGGCAGTGGCTGGCCGAGAGTCTCACACGAGCTACAGCACTGAGGGCTTAGCCCCGTGCCCGGCACGCAGCAGGTGCTGAGCAAGTGTGCCGATGACAACCAAGCTGCTTGTGCCCCTCGTCCAAGTGCCTGGGCTCAAGTGTTGGCACCAGCCTGACTCCAGCCTCCTACTAATGTGCGCCTGGGGGGCAGCGGGTGGGGGCTCGGGCACTGGGGTCCCTGCCACCCATGTGGGACACCTGGATCCAGTTCCTGGCTCCTGGTTCAGCACTGGGCCAGCCCTAGCTGTCATAGGCATTTGGGTAGTGAACCACTGGACACTGTCTCTGTCTCTCTTGCTGTCTCTCCATAAGAAACTGAAATCGCCAATGGCAATACAGGGGGTCTTGAAATAACAGTGTGTGGGCCCCATTTGTCACAGATGTGGTTTAGTAGGACTGCCCAGTGTCCACACCAAGGGGTAGCTGTTGAACACTTACTGTATGCTCTGTGCTTGGTAGCCGTCCTCCCAACAACTCCACAAGGTAACGATCCAACCCGCCGGCTAAGCTGAGGGCACCCGCGCACACCCCACTCTGCGTACTCCCTGAGTTGAGTTTGGGGAGTCGGGCTCAGGTACTGACGTCTCGGAACATTCCTGGCTACATGGGGCAAGAGAGACGCGACAGGAGAGGGTTGTGCATGGGGTCCTCGCCATGGAAGGTGAAGGCAGCTCAGCCCCTCGGGGCAGTGGCAGGGACTGAGGGGCACAGGGGAGCTGTCAGCTCCGCCATCTCCTTTAGAGCTGGAGCCTGGGCACCTGCTGCTGGGGCGGGGGTCGGGGGAGAGTCAGGATCCACAGCCTTGTCACCTGTCAGCACGGAGCCACCACTTCCCCGCTGGGGAAAGGCAAGGGCGAATCTGGGCTGGGGCAGAGAAACCAGGAGCTGGGCTTCAGGCAGGGTCAGGGTGGGAGGCTTATTGCAGGGTGTGTGCACGTGGGGGTGAGAACGAGGCAGTGGGAGGGGAGACAGGTGTTCGGGGGGACGGGGCTGGCACTTGGGAGGGGGAGTGTCCAGCTTGCAGAGCTGGCCACGCGGGCTGCAGGGCGCTGAGATGCCCCTGGGCCAGATGGAGATGCGTAGTTGGCGTGAATTATGGATAGACTGTGTGGACTCCACAGGGTCAGACGTCTGGGGAGGTTTAGGATACCGAGTGCTTTGAGTGCACCTTGATGTTTTAGATGTATTGAGCGCACTGTTGCAACAAATTTCCTCCCATTTCTTTTTACACTTGAAAAAATTACTTGAGGGGCCGGTGCTGTGGCACAGCAGGTTAAGTTACTGCATGCAATGCCAGCATTGCATACTGACTGCTCCAGGCCAATCCAGCTCCCAGCTGATGCACCTGGAAGGCCCAGGGGATGGTCTTCGTGCCATCCACCCACGTGGGAGACCCGGAGAGTGCTTGGCTCCTGGCTGAGACCTGGCTGTTGCAGCCATTGGGGAAGTGAACCAGCAGATGGAAGCTCTCTGTAACGTTGCCTTTCAAATGAATGCATGCAGACTGATTGCAGAGGCAGAGATGCACACGTAGCTGGGTGTCCTGGGCAGCCCGGACTGGGACGAGCGGAGTTCTCGTTCAGACCAGGGCTGGGGACCCCTCACTGGGCTGGCCCGGGAGTGAAATAAACAGGAAGCTGCTTGCCCGGTGCTCACGGAGTGCACCCCGCCCCTCCCCTTCTTGGGCTGTGGGGTCTGCCTTGCACCCGAGTGCCTCTTGTCCCGAGACACTTGTTTTCTCCGTGGCTGTGAGGTTAGGAGTGTTACACCCGGCGCTCAGTGCAGGGGCTGTCCGGCTGTCATGGGGGTGCACAGTGCGAGAGCGGACTGTCCTTCTGTCTGTCCCTTGGGCTGGGCGTGGGTGCCGGTGTCGCTCCAGTAGGGAGTGTCCTGTGGCCCAGCCCCATGCCGTGTCTGGAGAGGGTTCTGAACGTCACGGCTACTGGCGCGGTGCGGGTGGAGGCGGGGGGCCGCTGAGCTTCCCGCAGCACATGGCACAGTCCAGCCCCAAGCGGCGGCGTTGCCTGGTGGGAAGGTGTGGCCTGCGCCATCTGGAGTCAACCCTTGGCCCTGATCGCCCTCCCCGGGGCCTGTGGATTCCTTGGCAGTGCTTCCTGCCGTCTGATTATCTCACCTTGAACGGAAGCTCAAGGTCGCAGGGACTATTTTGCTCACTGCCATGGGCCCAGTGCCCGGTATACAGTGGGTGCCTATTAACCATGCACGTCTCAGGAGTGGATGAGCAGGAACCTGTTGTGAAGTGTCATTTTTTTCCCATGAGCAATTCCGATTCTACGTCGACAGCTCATGTGGAGCTGCCCGATGACCAAATGGACTCAAAGCGGGCTTGTGTCCCCCTGACCCCCATCGGCGCCCCGCTGGGGCTGCTGCCGTCCAGGCGTGTGATGGCTCCGGACGCTTTGCCGACCCTGTACTGGTCATGCCTGAGGCCCCGCTGTCGAGAAAGAACGGAGACAACCTGGGAGGCCGTGAGCAGGTTACATAATTTATAAAATGTCACTGTATTAATTTTGTCATCGTAAAGTTTATCTCAACCAGATTGTAACAAAATTGCCACAGCTTATTCCAAAAGAAAATTTTAATACAAGAGGTTTTAGAAAATTAAACACATTTGTTTAAAAATTCTGTCCTGTAAACCTTAACGCAAAAGGGTGGTTAGGATAATCCTACAGTGCCCACCGCCATCTGCATGTCTGCCCTCCCTGGGGGTGCCAGGGACTGGCGGGGTGATGACGATGCCCACGGGCAGTGAGTGTAGGAGGGCACAGCTGGGGACTGGCGGGGTGACGACGCCCACGGGCACGGAGTGTGGCAGGGCAGGGCTGGGAGTTCAGAGGCTGCTTGAATTCTCAGCTCCCCCACTGTGCCCACGACAGACCGTCACCATCCCCAAGCCTACGCTGCAGGTGTGCCGTCTGCCCTCCTGTGTCCTCCATCCCAGGCCATACAAGGGCGCCCCTGGCGGTCCCACTCTGATAGCCAGAGCGCCTGTACTGGTGAGGGGAAGCCTCCCCCCGGCACTTCACAGAGGCACAGCTGCAGCGGAAGACGTTGATGCACCAGTGGGAGCCGGGCGTGGCCCTCAGCAGCAGGGCCACCTTTCAGTGAACAGATCTGTGGTTTGCCGTCTCCGAAAACTCGGATGGAAGGGAGCCCTTCCTACCCGCTCGTTAGGATTCAGGGGGGAGAGGGGACCTGTGACAGCGTGCTCGCTACCTAGACCAGGCCCAGGACACAGCGATGGCTCACAGCTAAAACAAGGAGTGTGAGATGAACGGGTCAGCTGCATTCCAGTGGCCCGTGGCCTGCCCAAGGCTCCGAGACCCCGGTGCTGAGCCCGGCCCTGGTGATCCAGCAGCTCGGGTTTTCTTGGAGAAACATTACCAAGTTTGGGTGTGACCGAAACATGGAAGGGAATGTCTTGGCACAGAGACTTCAGATGCAACACATGGCATACTACCTGTGCAAAATGAGCACAGAAGCCAGTGTAGACAGCATGGTGTAGACAGCACGGTATAACATGGGCTGTAGGGAAACAGCGCAGAGTCTTCTACAAACGTCCGTGACCGCAGACCTCGCTGGCGCACAGGCACGGGCCTCCAGGTGGGGGTGAAAGGGCCAGAGCTGCGCTGGCCGGAGCAGAACCCTGGGAGGAAGTCCGACGATGAGTGCCTGGGCCTCCGGGCCGGTGTGATGGGCAGGTCCCAAGGGCTGGCAGTGCAGCCCTCGCTTTGCCGTCGGTTAGGTGGGGCTGGGCCAGTGCAGGGAAGCCAGGCCTGGCCTGGAGGAAGCTGTGCAGTGGGCACCAGAGAGGGGGGCCTGCTGGGACCCCCAAGGCCAGCCTTGTGTCTGGGGCTGCCCCTCAGCCCCGGCGCTCTCCTCACCTGGGCAGCGACGAGGGGACCTCCAGTGCCCAGGGCCGGGCAGCCCGCGCTGCAGCTGTGTCAGCCAGGGATGCACAAGTGGCCTGCGGTTGCCTCTGCTGGTTAAAGGCCCAACACATGGCGTGTGCTGTCCTGAGGAACTTGTGCTAGGAGGCGCCAGGCACTGTATCTGAACCAGGTTCCCTGGGCAGCCGGGAGGCCCCGGGCGAAGCCAGTGCTCACCTGCACTCAGCCAGCCTCCTGCGGGGCGCTGCCTCCTCTCCCCCAGGCTGGCAGCCTGCACCCACGGCCAGCAGCGTGGGCCTGTGACGAGACGGGGCTGAGCTGGAAGCGGCTGTGCAGGCGGGGTCCATATTTGGAAACTTGATCATCTCTTTCAAGGGGAGACACCGCCACCCAGCCCTGTCCTTTCTGAGTTTTGCTTCACCTGGAGCAGTGGTGAGAAAGGAGAAGACGGTGGACCCCAAGGCCAGCATCTGTGTTGGCACCCGCAGACCCTGAGCAGGCAGGGCGCCTTCCTCGCACGGACCCAGCCTGGGCGCCTGCTTGTGGCAGGGGTCCTAGACTTGCACGGCCTTGGCAAGGGAGGTGGACCCTCAGCTTCCCCTCTCGGAGGTTCTTCCCTGCTCATGGAGGTGGCTGTGAGCTCCAGCAGGTCCTTCCTGGGCGACGGCTCAGAGGAGCAGGGCGGCCAGCCCTCTGCGCTGGGTCCAGGCTGGAGGGCAGCTCACGGTGCCTCCCCCAGCGGCGGCATGACGGGATCCAGGTCCTCGTCTGGTTCTTCTCCAGGCCTCTGAAGTCCCCGGTGTCTCAGGCTGAAGCCCGCTCTTGGCACCAGAGGGTGGGGCGGGCAGGCTCCAAGCAGCGCACAGCCATGGCCGAGCATCCCACGCGGCTCCACTGGAGGCTCTGGGGAAGGTTCTGGAACCAGTGTGTCATGGGCCGCTCCGGGCTCTCACGCGAGGGACACTGAGTGACGGGGGGGTGACCCGAGGGTGGCTTGCCGTGCACGGTCACGAGACGGGGCAGAGCCGGCAGGTGGCCCTGGGGAGGCGTGTTCAGTCTGTATGGAGGGCAGGGCAGCTGTTCTGAGAGTGAGGAGGCTTTAAAAATGGGCAGGCAGCAGTTCTGGGGTGCACGCAGGGGCGCCCCTGTTCTCAGAGGCTGTGGGTTGGAGGTCGCCCCCCCCCTTTTTTTGCTGGACTCTGCAGGACGCCAGGAAGGTTCCTGGGGGTGGCTGGGGAGGGTGAGGATTTGCACTGGGCTCACTGCCTCATGGGCTGGGAAGGGGACTGGGGACAGGACAGGGGACAGGCGCCCTGCACAGGGAGGTAGAGCCGGGACAGGCGAGTGGGCAGCGCAGGCCCGCTCCGTCTTCAACTGGGCAAGGTCCAGGAGCTCAGCCTCAGAGCCACCAGCCAGAGCAGCCGGGAGAAGTGAGCGCACAGTGGGGCTGCGCTGCCTCCTGGGCCCGGTGGTCTCAGGTTCTGGGAGCCGCACGCCATCCTCGCACTCCTCGGTCAGGCGCGGTCAGCCTCACCTGGCCCGGGCCACCCCAGAAGCTGCTCAGGCCTGTTCCTCGGTGGGGCTCAGCTCATCCCCAGCTGGGAAAGGATCCGTGCTCGCTAGGGCCGAGTGCCCAGTTTGAGCCACTGAGCCGAAGCCGCTCCCACGGAACCCACCGTGTCTTCCTCGTGTGGACGTCCTTGCGTCTGCCTCCGCGCCAGGCAGGGGACCGGGTGCAGGCTGGCCTCGCTCTCCACGTTCCTCCCAGAACTGCACCTGCTCTGTGTCTGAGCTCCGCTGCTGCAGGGCTCTTAGCCCTCGGGGGGGGGGGGGCAGCTCCGTGGGCCTGGAGGTTAAGCTGGTCACTGGCTGGGTCCCAGGACCCAGCTGACACGGCTCGCGGGAGGCGGGGCTCGGGGTCCTCACCCTGTGCCTGCAAGGCCTTGCTGTGACACAGGAGCAACCTCGGGGACACAGGGATCTGCCCCGAGCACAGCACGCTGGGGGCAGAGGGTGCGTCGGGAACGGGTGACTGCAGGGGTCCCTGTGCAGAGTGGGAGCTGCGTCTGGGGTCCACTGCTGTGGCGCCATCAGCGGGGCGCTCGGGGCCAGATCTCCCTTGAGCCTGCGCCCAAGGCTGCCGCTGTGCGTGTGGCCCAGGTCTCTGCCGCATCACAGGTACCTGAGCCTCCCCCTGCCCCACAAGCTGCAGGGGCGGCTGAAGCCGGCCAGGGAGGGGGCTTCCCCAGGAGCGCAAGTTCAGTGCCACTGCGGGCTGGGGGCCAAGGCCTGCAGAGGCTGGGCCATGGCGGGGCCCAGGTGGGAGGGGGAAGTCCACAGGGTGCAGCCAGAGGGAGACAGGCTGAGGGTCATTCTGGTTCCCGCGTGGGAAGGCGTCGGGTGGCCGATTCGGGCCGGCCCTCTGTCCCTGTGAAACGTTCGCACTGTGCATGTCGACGAAGGGGCTCCTGGCCCAGCCGGGAACCCCCTCTCTGCCTGGCCCCTGAGCTGGAGGAAGGACCACGGGTGCCCAGGGCAGACCCTGGGGGGCAGCTCTGGGCTGCCCCAGTCTGTCCAGCGAGAGGCTGCCCGGCTCCGAGACTGACCAGTTTAATCGGAATGGCCCGCGGCCCGTGAGGAGGGGTTTCCTGCGGGATCCGGTGGTGGCCGTGACGTTGCTCCGGGAAGTCAGGGGTCGGCAGCCATGGCCGGGTCGGAGGCACCTGGCGCAGGATTTGGGCCCACATCTGGGGTCTTGCTGAGGTCACAGGTCGCCGCTCTGGGGTTCCACGTTGCGCGTCTCCCTGGGGTGGCCCCGGGACAGCTTGGGGAAGCGGGAAGCCACTCTGGGCCGGCTGTTGTTGAGGGGCTCTCCGGGCGGGGCGAGGTCCCTGTAAGAGCAGGGGAGGGGCCGGGAGTGAGGACAGCAGCAGCAGCCCTCAGGAGGGGGAGTGACCTCCCAGCTCCCACGGGCAGGCACGAGGAGACACAGGAAGTCCACATGGCGAAGGCGGTGCTCCGTCTCGCCCGGGCCCAGTGGGTCTGACCCCGCTCTCGGGGTCTGTCCTGGACTCCATGTTAACACAGAAAATGTACCACCGCGGACTCGCCACAGTTTCCCTCAATTTCCCTCAATCTTCCAATGAAAGCACATCTCAGCCAAAGGAGGGCAAGGGCTTTGCAAAACACCACAATTACAGTCACAAAAGGTGAGCGGGGAAAAACACAGGCTTAACCGCACAAGTCCCCCGGCTAAGAGGGGACACCGCAGGCCAGACGCAGCCACGAGCCACTGATGACAGTGGCGTGGGAACAGCAGAGCACGACCCTGCCGGGAGCAGAAGCGCGAGCGGAGGAGGGTGCTCTCTCAGTGACCATGGACCGCGTGTGCCCTCCAGCCCAGCCCCACCCCAGGTGACCCAGAGGAGGGCAATTCGCCCAGCTTCCGTGGTGCGCAGAGCCCGAGGGCGGCGGGCCCCAGGTTCGGACGCTGCGAGAGTGGCCACAGCCTCCCAGGAGCCCGCGACGGGGACCGAGGCCTAGCTCGGCACCTGCTCCCCACGCTGAGGGAACGGTGCTTCGCGCCCTGGATCGACTTCAGAACCCCCCGGGAACTTCTAAGAAAACCCCAGCGCACAGCACCCAGCTCCAAGGACGTGCATCGCTCTGCGTGCACAGGACTTGGTCTCTGCTCCTTTTCAGATGGTGCCAGGGCCCCCGCCCGCCCGCCAGCACAGACAGCCACAGCTTCAAAGCAGTTAGAACTGGGGAAAAGTCACCAGCTCCAAAGAGGGGGATCCATTTTGCTGAGGTTGAAGGTGGCTCACTGGTGGACTGAATGTGGCGGCGCACAGGGAAGGCGGAGAGCCCAAAGCACCCCCAGCCGCGAAGGTTTGTGGGCAGGAGACGACCACGCGTGGCAACGAGGGGTTGCTGGTATTTTCTGGGCACCTGTGGTCACTCCAGCCCTGGCCTCATCTGAGGACGGAGGACCACTAGGAGATGACAGTGCGGCCGGTTCCCCCTCTGGATGGCAGCTCGCTTAGGAGTGTGATCGCTTCCCCGCGATGAAGAAACGCCTGGTTCAACAGCACCTCTCCCTGCACCCCAAGCCTTGGTACTTTTATGGCACAGCAAAAGCTTGGAACTGGCGATCCCGAGCGCGGAGTCTGCTATGGAAAGATTGCTCACCAGACCCTCTTCTACGTGAACCTCCTCACAGTTGACAACAGGAGGCCCGAGCTCCTCCTGCCTCCGCTTCCCCACCTCAGCGCTGCAGCCTCTGAAATCCACTGTGTGACCTCATTGCTTTGAGCACGGGCCACAGAAAGCAGGGCAGGATGAGGCAGACCGAGACACACGTGTAAGAGGGGAGCCTCCCGCCCCCGCCCCCACCAACCAGGGTCAGCACTTACGACGTGTCCCTGCAGGGTGACAGTGCACACGGGGGTGCACTTCCTGAGGGCCCTCCAAGGAGGGGGATGCCCCACACATGTGCTGCACCTGCTCCTGGCTCTGTGCCCTGTCTCCCCTGGGACTGTCCTCTCACAGCACCGAGAGCGGCCCCACACATCCCGCCTGCTGTGGGTAGGTCAGCTTGTGGGCACTTGAGGTGCTGAGGCCCCCGTAACCGTGTAGCTCCGCCTTTGCAGCAGGAAAGAGGCAACCACCTACAAACCCCACAGAGGGCAAGGGCTGGGTTCTGAGCTCTCCAGCTGTGTGGCCACAGCTGTATGCCCCTGCAGTCCTATGGAGGCCAGGCCTGCTGATCCAGGGCACAGAGCCCTGAACCCCACAAGGACATGATGCAAGGGGAACCGTCCATGGCTCTCGAGCTGCACCCTGGAGCAGGTCCTACAGGGAGTCCTGCACGGCCTCGGCCCTGGTACTGCCCCACATACTGCGCTTTCCTCCCCCAGCTGCGTGCACAGGTGCAGAGCTGTGTGGGAATCCCAGCCCTTCCCCAGTCTGGCTGCTGAGTGGTGGCCGTGACCGTCCCTGGCACCACTCCTCCAACCCTGCTGATGCAGAGGAGGGCACGAAACCCCTGCTTCGTCTCATGAGCCTGATGGGCACTGATCCATCTTGGGACACAGAGGCCAAGGACCCAGGGGTCCTTCGCTGGACACACGGCAGGGACAAGAGGCCAGACTGGCCAGGGGACAGGACTCCCACCGGACGCAGGCCCTTCAGTTCCCACCTCTCAGAGCTGCGGGGAGGTCCCACGAGGTATCAGAACAGCGCCTTGGTGCCAGGCTGCAGGGAGTTCAAGTTAAGGCTCCATTAACTAAAACAGGCCGGAGGCAGTAGTACCCCTGCCCAACCCCTCAGCCCTGAGCTCTGTGTCCTGGAGCTGCACTTGTCCAAGTCCTGGAGGCTCAGTGGCCCCTGGGCCTGAGCTGCTAGGTAGGGGGCTCTTCCCTTCTGTCCGGCTGGCCTGGGCCACTGGTCAGGGCACTTCGAGCCCTGCATGGGAAATCACTTTCCCGGCCTCCCGCTTCTGCTGAGGACTTCAGCTCAGCGACCAGTCTCGGGTTTATGAAACGGGGGTGAAAACCAGGCCTGCCCTGCCTGAGCTTTGTGCAAAGACCTGGGCGAGAGCAAGCACAGCAGCTGCCCGGTCCAGGGCCCCAGGAAGCACAGGATGGCTGCCGGCACCTGCTGCGGCCACCGCTGTTGGTAGGCATGCTTGCACGTCCTGGGTCAGGCATAAAAGAAGCGGATTTCTCTCTGCCGCCCTCTTCCTACACACAGAACACACCTGACCGGGGTAGCCAGGACGCCCAGCAGCAGCCCTGGTGAGGGGTGGGGGGCCCTGGAGACAGGAGCTGCCGCTGGGAGAGGGGAAGGGCCCCAGATACCGCTGGACACACCGGGCTGCCATCCGGAACAAGGCACTTACACTGCAGCCCCTCCCCCTGCCCGTCTAGGATGGAAAAATGGTCGCAGCTGTGTCACACAACCAAGAACAAAGGGCACGCAGGCCAGGGGTGTTCTCCATGGCCCTCGAGACAGGGTGGCTCGCGGTAGATGACAGCTGTGGCTGAAATCATCAGCCCCTGGGGACCCTTCCCTGGCCTCCAGCGCAGAGAGCACCATGCCCTTGCAAAGCCCTGCTGGGCCCTGCATCTCTGCCCCGAGAGCAGGACCCCGGCACTGTGGAGGCCGAAAGGGCAGGATACGGCATAGAACAGCCGCTGTGCGTGACAGCACCTCATTGCATCCATGCTGCTCCTGCGGCCCAGGCTTGAGGCACAGAAAGCTCCCTGCAGAGAGGACAAGGACCAGGCCTGCCATAGGGTAGCTCCAGGCCCAGCTCATCGATCTGGCCACACCTGCTCACAAGGCTGTGAGCGGAACCTGAGCTGCAGGGGCTGGGTAATGCCACAAGACCTCGAATAGCTGGGAAGGACATGACCGGGTGTCAAACTCAGGGCTTCCTGACTCCCACACACAGCTCCTCCCGGGTTACTGACCCCTCACTGGGCCCAGAAGACTGCCCTCTTGGAAAGAGCCTTTCTGCCCCTTGTCTGTGACCCCTCGCCTGGGCCCCCATGTTCCCTGTTCTCTCCCAGATTCCCCATCTTCCAGGGTGGCTGCCCCTCCTCGACCAGGCTCTACAGGTGGGTAGCTGGGGCACCTCTTCCCCGAGGTTGGGCCTGGGATGATCCCCCCTGGGTGCAGACCTATGTCCCACACTCTGGGGTTCAATGCCCAGTCGATGTCTCACAAACGACAAAGGCCACCGCCTGCTGCCCCAGGCCCTCTGCCTTCTCCACCTGTGAAAGGCAACTCTGCCCTTCCCATGCCTCTCAGAGCCGTGGTAGCACCGTCCAACTCGGCACTCTCACGTCCCTGTCCAGCCCCACAGCAGACCCTGCCAGCTCTGGTTTCCCACACAACAGGAGCCGTCCTGGCTCCCAGCATCCCCACCTGACCCAGCCCCTGTTCCCTGCCTGCTCTCCTCCCTACACCACACACCGCAGAGCTGTGTGCCCAGCTTTTAGTCGATGACGCAGCTGTTGCCTCAGCTGGGCTCAGTCCCTCCCATCTCTGTGTGGGTGCCCCAGACTTGTCTACCTCCCCACCTCCTTGTTTTCTAGTTTCCCCCATGTTTTAAAAAAATAACTTACTCTTTGAAAAGCAGAATGACAGGGATCTTCCATTCACTGTTTCACTCCACGAACGGCCCCAAGCCAGAAGCCCAAAACTCCATCCGGGTCTCCCCGCTGCACAGCAAGAGCCCACGTGCTTGGGCCACCTGCTCTGCCTTCCCAGATGCTCTGGCAGGAAGCCGGGGCTGAAGTGGAGCAGCTGGCCCCCACCCCGGCTGGCTGGTGTGGGGTGCCAGCGTCCCCAGCACTGGCTTACCCGGCTGTCCCACAGCCCCCGCCCCCGATGTCACCTTTCAATGTTGGGATTAATTCTTCTCCTCTTATTTTCATGTATTTTGAAAGCAATCCTAACCTTTTATACTTAAAATTTCCTTTAATAAATGCACTTGCATGCAAGGTAGCTACTGCAATGCCTCTAATTTTCTCATCATGTTTGCCTGGGTTTCCAGTCAAAACAAGCTGTAATCACAGCAGTTCTACATGGATTAAGGAGTGGATTCCTCCCTCTTGTTCTCGGTAATTATAATTATCCACCCGTTGGGTATTTATGCCCCACTCATCCTTGTGGAGCTGAGCACAGCGAGGAGGAGGGAGACTCCTACAGTGGTGACCCACCGGGCGCCTCGTTACTGTGCAATTCCAGCCCCGGGCTGGGCAGCTCCAGTCTGTGGGTGAAAAACAAAAACGCCACCCAGGGCGGGGACCTGGACCCAGGCTGCCCCACTCGTTACTGTGGTGCCCTTTTCACTGGATGCCCCTCAAAAGCTACACGCTGG